TTGGGATGGACACTGATATCGGTGCCTTAGTTGCTTAAGGATTGTTTCCCCCAGGTCGAAGTTTGACTGCCAGGCCGTGTCACCCGCTATGGGGGAGGTTGCCAAGCAGCATGAGAGGCTCCACCACTCGCTGTACGTAGGCTGGCTCGATTCATTCATTTTTTTTTCCTCCCCTTTTCCTCCGCAACCATTGTGGAGGCTTCAGTGCGCATCGTGGTTCGAAGAAGCTTACTGACCCCAGGGGTTGTACAAGGAAGATAAGCAGTGAGCTTAGGAAGCTTAGGAAAGGCATGCTCCCAGGCTCAAGTGCCAAGATCAGTGGGATCCTGCCCTTTAATATGCCTGGGTAGTATAGCAGTGGGATGGTTGGTTAGGGCAGTGCAGAGGGACAGTTGGTGGGGGGGACTTTCTGTTCTCGCCATCCTAGGGGGGGCCTCCAGGCGGAAGGGCCCCTGCACCAGAGCGCATGGGGTCACGGCGCAGGGATGCCGTGGCATAGGATGCTCCTTCGGCCTGTTTGCTTCCCCTAGTTTGCTCCTCTCTGCCGCTTTCCGCGCCCGCTTCTGAGCGTGCCCTGCGAGCTCTCACGGTCTCTTCCTCAGCCTCGGGCCCAGCCTCCCGTCAGCTCGTGCGCGCGCGCCGTGCCTGCCCGCTATGGTGAAGAGCAGGCAGAGCCCGTATCAGGTGTGCTCGTCTCAGGGCTGCCGAGGTTGGATCGAACTCTCGAGGTTCAAGGAGGAGGATGGGGATGTGCTGTCGTGCAAGCTCTGCGGGAACCCCTTCGACCCGCTGCAGGAGGCAGTGGGGGCCATGAGGGAGGCCCGTGCCGCCCGTGCTGCCGCCGTCCGTCAGCCTGTCCCGCCTGATCCAGCCCTTCCTGGCCCAGTCGCCCCAGGACTTGTGAGGCCCTCGGCAGCTCCCGAGCCCTCAGCCAAGCGCGAGCTTCAGCTGTCGGTCAAGGGATCGGCACCGCCTCCTCTTCCTAACCCCAAGCTCTCGGGCCCTCCCATCCCTTTTCCTCCCGCCCTGCCCCGCGGACAGGGGCTGTCCATCCATGGGTTGGAGCCCCGCGGGCTGGGCGCGCCTCCCAAGGCCCGCCTCGTTGGCAAGGCGCCGTGGCCGGGCACGGGGACGGCGTAGCCGCCCGCGTGGAGGCCGCCGCAGCCCAAGGCGCCGCCGCCCGCCAGGCTGCTCGCAGCCCAGGGGGAGGGCCGTGGGAAGGGCCACGCCAGGGCCCCGCGCCCGCGGCACACCCAGAGCATGGCGGCGTCGCGGCTGCGCATTCGGGTGGCCCTTTTGAAGGCGGCGAATCGCACCCTGAAGGGGCGGGGGCGCCACTTCAGCGAGCGCGCCGCCTACGCTTGGAAGGAAGTCCGTTGGGCCCACGGCCATGTTCAGAGGAGGAAGGAGACGCGGGCCAAGGGGGCCCCCTCCTCTTCCGATTCGGACATGGAGTAGGCAGCTGCAGGGGGGAGCTGTTTGGTGGGGGGGCCATCAGATTACAGCATCGGATAACAGCAGCTCCAACGGCTTCCTCTCCCTGTCTTCACCTCCCACCCTGCTCCTGGGGCCAGCCTAGGCGGGGTTTGGGTCTGGGGCTTCGGCGGCGCTTACCCTTCTCCTTCCCTCTTTCCTCCCTCCGTCTCGGCCTTCCTTCTTCTCCGTAAGCGTCGCCTTAGCCTCGCGTCTTTTGTTTGTCGCTCTCTGCTCCTAGAGTGGACTTGTGACACAGCAGTGCATCAGTGCATCAGGGGAGAAGGATGAGGATGATGATGATGATGATGATGATGATGAGGAGGAGGAGGAGGAGGAGGAGGAGGAGGAGGAGGAGGAGGAGGAGGGAGAGGAGGAGGAGGATAGGAGAGAGAGGAGGGGGGGAGGGGGGAGGAGGAGGAGGCGGATGAGGGGGAGGAGGGGGAGGAGGAGGAGAAGGAGGAGGACGGGGAGGAGGAGGAGAGGAGGAGGAGGAGAGCAGGATAAGTAGGAGGAGAAGGAGGAGGAGGAGGAGGAGGAGGAGGATGAGGAGGAGGTGGAGGAGGAGGAGGGGGAGGAACAGGAACAGGAGGAGGAGGAGGAGGAGGAAGAGGAGGAGGCGGATGATGAGGAGGGAGAGGGAGATGATGATGATGATGATGAGATGAGGAGGAGGAGGAGGAAACAGAGGGAGGGGAAGACGGGATGATGATGCTGCTGATGACGATGATGCTGATGATGACGCAGCTGATGCTGATGATGATGATGGAGAGGCTGATGCTGCTGCTGCTGCTGATGATGATGATGACGATTGTGATGATGATGCTGATGATGCTGATGATGATGAGGAGGAAGAGGAGGAGGGACAGGAGGATGAGGAGGATGAGGAGGAGGAGGAGGAGGGGGAGGGGGAGGGGGATGATGATGATGATGATGGTGATGATATGATGATGAGATGATGATGATGATGATGAGCATGAGCGATGATGATCATGTGATGATGATGCTGAGGATGCTGATGCTGATGATGGGATGCATGAGGATGATGATGGTGATGATGATGTGATGATGATGATGATGATGATGATGATGATGATGATGATGATGGTGGTGGTGGTGGTTGGTGGTAAGGAGGAGGAGAGAAGAGGAGAGGAGGAGGAGGAGGAGGAGGAGGAAAAGGAGGAGGAGGAGGAGGAGGAGGTGAGGAGGAGGGGGAGGAGGGGGAGGAGGAGGAGGAGGAGGAGGAGGAGGAGGAGGAAGAGGAGGAGGAGGAGGAGGGAGGAGGAGGAGGAGGAGGAGGAGGAGGGGGAGGAGGGAGGAGGAGGAGGAGGAGAGGAGGAGGAGGAGGAGGAGGAGGAGGAGGAGGAAGGAGGAGGAGAGAGGCGGGCGGAGGCGGAGGCGGGAGGGGGAGGAGGAGGAGGAGGAGGAGGAGGAGGCGGAGGAGGAGGAGGAGGAGGATGAGGAGGAGGATGAGGAGGCGGAGGAGGAGGAGGACTAGGAAGAACATTACAAACAATAATAATACGAAGAATACGAAGAAGAACACGCATACGAATAGACTAATAAGACTACTGCTACTAATACTGTTCTTATTATTGATAATCATCATCATACTACTATTACTACTACTACTACTGCTACTACTACTACTACTACTTCTACTACTACTACTACTACTACTACTGCTACTACTACTACTACTACCACTACCACTACTACTACGACTACTACTACTACTACCACTACTGCTACTACTACTTCTAATACTACTAGCACTACTAATAATGTTCATAATAATAACAGCCATACCAATACTCATACTATTAATATTTTCTTAATAGTTCTACTCATAATACGACTAATACTATTACTAGTACTACTACTACTACTACGACTACTACGACGACTACTACTACTACTACTACTACTACTACCACTATTACCCCTACTACTACTACTACTACTACTACTACTACTACTACTACTACTACTACTAATACTACTACTACTAATACTAATGCCAATAATAATGGCATCACTAATGCTACTACTAATACTAATAATAGTACTAATAGTCATAAGAACAAGAAAAATCATGAGGAGGAGGAGGGCCAGGAGGAGGAGGAGGGGGCGGAGGAGGATGATGATGAGGAGGAGGAGGAGGGAGGATGAGGAGGAGGAGGGAGGAGGAGGATGAGGAGGAGGAGGAGGAAGCGGAAGCGGAAGAGGAAGAGGAGGAGGAGGATCAGGAGGAGGATGATGAGGTGGAGGAGGAGGATGAGGAGGAGGATAACGGGGAGGAGGACAATGAGGAGGAGGAGTATGAGGATGAGGATGAGGATGATGATGATGATGATGATGATGATGATGATGATGATGATGATGCTGATGATGATGATGATGCTGGTGATGATGATGAGGGGTAGGAGGGAAAACGACGGATGATGATGATGTTAATGATGATTATGATGATGCTGCTGATGACGATGACGATGCTGATGATGCTGATGATGCTGATGATGATGATGTTGATGATGATGATGCTGATGATGACGATGATGATGATGAGGATGGTGGTGATGGTGGTGATGACGATGATTATGACGATGATGACGATGATGATGTTGATGATGATGATGATGATGATGATGGTGATGATGGTGATGATGAGGATGAGGATGATGATGGCGATGCTGATGCTGCTGATGATGATTATGATGACGATGATGATGATGATGATGCTGCTGCTGCTGCTGCTGATGATGATGATGATGATGATGATGATGAGGAGGAGGAGGAGGAGGAAGGAGGAGGAGGCGGAGGAGAGGAGAGGAGGAGGAGCAGCAGGAGGAGGGAGGAGGAGGAGGAGGGGGGAGGGAGGGAGGGGAGGGAGGGAGGGAGGGAGGAAGGAGGGCGGGCGGGCCGGCGGGCGGGCGGCGGGCGGGCGAGCGGGCGGTGGGCGGGCGGGCGGCGGGCGGGCGGGCGGGCGGGCGTGAGGGAGGGAGGGAGGGAGGAGGAGGAGGAGGAGGAGGAGGAGGAGGAGGAGGAGGAGGAGGAGGAGGAGGAGGAGGAGGAGGAGGAGTAGGAGGAGGAGGTCGAGGAGGAGGAGGAGGATGATGATGAGGAGGAGGAGGAGGAGGAGAACGAGGATGAGGAGGAAGAGGAGGAGGATGTGGAGGAGGCGGAGGAGGCGGAGGCGGATGAAGAAGAGGAGGAGAAGGAGGAGGAATAGGAAGAAGAGGATGAGGGGTAGGGACGAGGATGGGGATGTTGATGGGGATAAGGATGAGATTGGGGATTTTGACTTTGATGATGCTGCTGTTGATGATGATGATGATGAGGAGGGGGAGGAGGAGGAGGAGGAGGAAGTGGAGGAGGAGAAGGTTTGTCATTCCTCGTGTTGCTTATCGCGCTCATTCTTCATGTCTTCGAACTGTCGAGAGTGTCTCTCAGCCATCTATTGCGGGTGCTGCGTCGACCGTTCCTGCAGCCTTGAACTCTTCCTGCTCCTTCTCCCCACTCCCCAGGACCCTGAGATCTTGATCGCAGCGTTGAGGGGCACTGGCGACGGTATTGCCAGAGTCGCTTCCAAAAATTCGGTTGCCCTGGAGCCGCCGCCGCCGCTGAATCTTCGGATCATGGTCGTCGGCACCCCGAAGGAGGACAAGGGTGAAGGAGGAGGGCACGGAGGAGAAGGAGGAGGAGGAGAAGGGGGTGGAGGAGGAGAGGAACGGCTATAGCAGGAGTGCTTGGTGTGGACCGAACAAACCGTGCCGCAGTGGACGCGGTGGCGCCGTGACCCCGCGACCAGCCAAGACAGCATGGAGGTGGCGGTGTTGGGTGTCAAGTGGGTTGAGAATGGCAGTTGGCACATCTCCGACGTCGTGTTACGAGCTCTGACTCCGCCGAGCCGCGCGAGGAACGGGCCAGAGCGGCCCACGCGGGCCTGGCCGCCGGGGCGGGGAAAACGCCAGCGCTGCCCGCCAGGGCCAACGACGCCGCTCCTGACGCCCTTTGCGGCGGAGACCGGCTGGTCCTGGATCGCCGGCATCGCGTGGAGGGTCAAGCGGGTGCCAGCGCTGATGCCACGGCCTTCTGGCAGGAGCTCTCGACCACCTTGCAAACATGGGGTGGTCGAGCAGATCCTGGCCGATTACCGGCCAGCGGCCGCCGTCGGACGGTACTGAGGAACCGACTGAGGGGCGGAGGGCGAGGCCAGTTTGAGGGCCGACACAGGAGGAGGAGAGGGTGAATAACACAGGAGGAAGATGAGGAGGAGGAGGAGGACGAGGAGGCGGAGGAGGAGGAGGAGGAGGAGGAGAAGGAGGAGGAGGAGGCGGAGGCGGAGGCGGAGGCGGAGGCGGAGGCGGAGGCGGAGGCGGAGGGA